AGTCAGATGCTCAACCAACTGAGCCACCCAGGTGCCCCTAGAAAAAACTTCTTTCAAAAATGTTTATTTATTTTGAGAGAGGGAGAGAGGGCGCCTGGGGGAGGGGCAGTGAGAGAATCGGAAGCACGGATTGACAGCGTAAAGCCCGATGTGGGGCTCGAACTCACAAACCATGAGATCATGACCTGAGCCAAAATCAAGAGTCAGGCACTTAACCAACTGAGCCACCTAGGTGCCCCAGAAAAGATTTTTCTATTCCAAGATTATCGTAAAAATCGCTCATTTTCCAATTACTTTTTCATTTTCATCTATTATGTTGAAGCTCTTTCGTCCTCCTAAATATATTTTGGTGTAAGAAGTCACAGGGGACTTGAACTTGGTTTCATTCATGGGTAGCTCTTTGTCCCAGTACCATCTTATTGAATAATCTGTCTTTCTCGTAAGTTGTCATGCTACGTTTGAAAGTCATTGCCTGACTCTAAATCATTTGTAAGATTCCCTTCAGCGTTCTATAAAAATCAGACTTGAAATAACTATAATGTCATTCCTTAACTGACTAATGCTAACTGTTGGCTAATGTCCAATTCCCCCATGAAACTAAATTTCTTAAGAGCTACCATTTATTGGGGCGCCTGGGTGGCTCAGGTCGGTTAAGCGTCTGACTTTGGCTCTGGTCACGAGCTCACGGTTCATGAGCTTGAGCCCCACGTCCTCCGTGCTGACAGCTCAGACCTGGAGCCGCCTTCTTTTCTGTGTCTCCCTGTCTCTCTGCCCCTCCCACACGCGGGCTGTGTCTCTGTCTCTCTCTCAAAAATAAAATCAACCTTAAGAGCCACCATTTATTGAACACCTGTTATGTCCCAGTTACTGGGCCAGGACCTTTATGTGCTTCACATCAGTGGTCCTCAAACTTGAGAATCGCCTGGAAGGGTTGGGAAAACCCAACTCTGCCACTGTTGTTTCTGAACCAGCAGGTCTGGGGTGGGGTCTGAGAATTCGCATTTCTAACAAGTTCCCAGGGTGATGCTCCTGCTGATGGTGGTGGTCTGAGGGCCACACGGTTTTACACCAGGAATGGAAACAATCATGCCAGTTTGTTGATAAAACTAAAGCTCAGAGAGTTTAAGGAACCTGCTCAAAATCTCCTAGTATTTAAGTGTTCTGCAGAAGCAGAATGCAAAGCTTTTCTGGCTGTTTCCTCTTTCTGCTCTGGCCACTTCCTGGTTGGGGGGCGGAGGCTGACAGGAAGGGGGATGCAAGGATCATGTCTGGAGATCCCTCCAGAATCTTTAGCGCTTAGCAGACTGACCGACTTCAGAGGTACACACTGTTTTCTCCTTTTTTTTTAAATGTTTATTTATTTTTGAGAGAGACAGTGGGGGAGGGCCAGAGAGACAAGGAGACAGAGGATCCAAAGCAGGTTGTACCCTGTCAGCGCAGAGCCCGATGCAGGGCTTGAACTCACGAACAGTGAGTTTGTGACCTCAGCTGACATCTGACGCTCAACCGACAGAGCCACCCAGGCTCCCCAGTACACAATGTTTTCTTGAATGAATAAACAAATTGCCGGATGCCCCCTGCAATGCAGGCCACGTATCACTTTGTCTCCCTTAATACTGTTTACGACCTCATAGATTTAAGACATTTGGAATAGATACAAAGTGCCCTGTTGGGGCGTCTGGGTGGCTCAGTCAGTTAAAGCATCCGACTTCAGCTCAGGTCATGATCTCACAGTTCGTGGGTTCAAGCCCCGCATCGGGCTCTGTGCTGACAGTTCGGAGCCTGGAACCCGCTTCGGATTCTGTGTCTCCCTCTCCCTCTGCCCCTCCCCGTTCCCACTCTGTCTCTCTCTCTCTCTCAAAAATAAAATAAACATCAAAAAAAATTTTTTTTTAAAAGAACAAAGTGCCTTATTTGGAAAAATTAAAATGAAATGATTAGTGGAAGCAACAGCTCACAGGGTCTTTTACTTTCTTTTGTTCTTCGTTTTCACTTTTGTCTTTTTCTCCCCCCCTCCCCCTTCCATAGGATGAAGAAACTCTGTGAGCTTTATGCAAAAGTTCTGGGCTCCCAAGAAGCTTTGCAAGTAAGGCTGTGTTTCATCTCTTTCCCGAGAGAGAGAGAGAGAGAGAGAGAGAGAGAGATCTGGCTGTGTCCTCAAGGGACTACTGGGGAGGGGCTCATGCAAGTAGGGTTCTAGAGCCCGTGTTTTCTCGGAAATCTTCTCAGAAGGTCTGCACGGGGCCGGTTGTCCCAGAGAGGATGGGTCTCGGCTGTGCCCTTGGCGATGCTACACTTGACCCTGAGTTCAGAGCTCTTCCTGGCTCTTGATTTTCTTCAAGATAAACCAGTAGTAACCCCCCACCGACCCAGGTGGATAAAGGCAGGATGGGGCGGGACAGAGAGGCAGTGTGTTAAGGGCATTTGGTGACAGAGGACCCAGTGTGCCCATAACCAGTAGCCATAACCACCTCCCTGCTCCGTCTTTAAAGCAATGAATTGATGTTCTTGTTACATTCACCGGACTGCTGGCTCTTTAACATTCGAACATGGATTAAAATCACCTTTTGAAAGCGATTATTAAATCCAGTTATCCATGAAGCATTTGAAGACAATGGGGACCCATGTACACGTGAGCAGTTAGAGCGTGAGAAAAATCTAATGAGGGGGCTAAGAATGTTTAACGTGCTA